GTTACTCCGGTAAGATTTGGAACGTAGCCCAAGCTTTCGGTGCGGGCTTGACGCCGCCGTAACTTTAATTCTCAGGAAGTAGGCGGCAGTTCTACTCCGTCTACTCATAAGCGATGCAACAAGTTTTGTACTTTGCGTAAATACCGCGAATGAATTCCTGATGTTAATACGCTTTGAAACACGCGTTCGCTTTTCACCACGCGCAGTAGAAGTCGTAGAAAAAATAAAGAAAAACGAGCAGCGTTCACTTCCTCAACTCGCAGCAACGTTACTAAGCCACTCAGTTGGGAAACTGTCATAGAGACTGCTCTGAGAAAGTGGCACCGATCTGTCCTCGGGAACCGAGCTAATGGCGAACACAACGCCGCCATTTCTCCCGCAGCGGCCACTCGAGGAACTGCACGTGACGTCTATTTTGGCTTTAATCGTACATTTTGGCGCCGAAACAGATACAGCGGAAGAGGTTACAGGGGTGCCACCCCGTCTCGCCAGCGAACGCGCCGCGTCTTGCTACCAGGGTTGCCAGGTGTTTGTACTCTGGCCTGCCAAATTTCTGCGAGATATAGCCCAAAAATTGCCAAATGTCGATCCAGAAAAGTACCTCAAAAATATCCAAAAAAACAACAACTGACCATTCGAAACGTTTATTGTATGAACAAAAGACACGTAATGCATTTTTATACATCAAATATAAATATTCACACCACTAGCTCGCAGAACCAACGGCAGAGTACGGTTACATTACTGCGGTATGCGGTATTAAAAGGTGTCAGAAAAACATCTGAAGGAACATATTCCTTGCAGCACTGTTCTTTGACACACAGTCCGAATTTAACAGACAAAATGTTCTCCAGTGTTTCCATCGACATCCTGTTTCGGAAGTCCGTCTTTGCGAAGGTAGCCTGGCTGAACACGCTTTCTACTGCAGCGTTGGACAATGGTAACCTAAGCAACATACCTTCCACTGTATTATTAATGTAATAAATTAAAAGCACACAATTTCATACGTCAAAAGTCACATATTTCTTGGCGTATATATTGATAAAGGAGTAACTTGGACCCCGCATATTAATTACCTAAAACGGAAGCTGGTGAGTTTCATTGACCTCTCCCGCTTCATTAGTGGCACTACGTGGGGAGCGTCAGTGCGGGCGTTGCTACGTCTCTATCAGGCTTTATTTACTGGTTTGCTTAGGTACAGTCAGTTATCAACGGTATGTGCCGTACAAACTTAGGCACACTTCGAAGCCTTCAGGCACGCGCTCTTCGAGCCTGCCTTGGGCTTCCAGCATGTGCGTCAACAATTGGAACTATAGCAAAAGCACGCGTCATTCCTATAAGCATCCTGCTCATGCAGGAAACTCTAACCGCTCATTCACACTGGAAGCGGATCCGCGTTCGCAAAGCGGTTGCGAACGCGGCTGTATAAAGATCCAGTACAATTGCACGCGCACTCGATGACATCAAGTGCGCGTGCAATTGTACTGGATCTTTATACAACCGCGTTCGCAACCGCTTTGCGAACGCGGATCCGCTTCCAGTGTGAATGAGCGGTAAGGGTTCATATAAGACACTTAACTCAGCATGAAGATCACTCTCTCGCCACCATAGAATCTGCACGTCCAAACTCGAGCTACTCCAAGGCGCTGTCCCAGGTACGGCGATACTTGCCGGGAGATCTTACACAAGCCACAGTTTGCACGACGCCTCCGTGGAGATTTCCGGAACCAGATGTCAAACTTGATATTCCTGGTATCAAGAAAAAATCAAATATGCCAATGGTCGTGATTTTACAGGTTACTATGTCCCATATTTACGGTAACCATCTCTCAAGAACACATGTCTACACCGACGGCTCATGTACCTCTGATAGTTCTACTTGCTGTGTAGTCATTCCAAGTCACTGTAGAACCGTGGGATTCAAGCTAAGCCACGTAACTTCATCTACGATGTCAGAGCTAGTGGCAATTCAACAAGCACTTCAAATCATCTTGACACAATTGTCATACTCGTGGACAATATTTTCTGACTCCAAGCCGGCCCTCCAAGCAATATCAGCATTTTTGCGACGCGGTCAAAATGACCAAGTGGTTTTCGAAATAATGACCCTTCTTATGCAGTGTTTGGATCTAGGACACACTGTCCAGTTTCAATGGATACCAGGTCATTGTCGTTTACCTGGAAACGAGGCTGCAGACGCAGGTGCGAAGTCAGCCCATTCTCTAGATGCAACTATTACGATTCCGTATTGTCGGAATGGCATTAAATGCCTTATCAATCGTCACGCCGCCAGCGCTAGGAGAAATCTATGGCACGATGTCTCCTACCACTATGCTCCCCTCTACGCGTTGGACCCAAATCTTACCTTTCAACTTCCACGTGATCTTCCCCGGAGGACAGAGGCAGTCATACATCGCCTCCGGCTCAGTGTCGCTTGTACACAGTCCTTCCTTCACCGCATTGGGCAAGCCAGAACATCGGACTGTCCAACGTGTGAATGCGATGAAACCATTGCTCACCTATTGCGCGACTGCAAAATCTACGACGCGAAAAGAGAACACCTCAAGAGTACGTTGGTGCAAGTCCAGGGCCGTACCCAGAAAAAAATTTCGGGGGGGGGGGGGGGGGGTTGGGGACAACGGCGGCCATTTTGAAAGTGTCTATTGTCTTATTTTCGCCTATCAATCATGTGCATCGGTGGCATATAATGGAGAGTTACAGCAAACCGGAGAACCGGTCCCACTGCGCGTGCGCAGAAGTGCAGATTAAAATCGGCTGGCTGCCAGTGCACCGACCAGGGCCGTACCCAGAAAAAAATTTGGGGGGGGGGGGGGGGGGTCAGAACCCCCTACCCCCCCCCCCCCCCCCCCCTGGTTACGGCCCTGGGTGCAACTAGACAGCCGACCGTTTTCTGTCATGAAAGTGCTCGGAACCTGGGACAGCCCTCAGAGTGCAGCGAGGGCAACAAAAGCTTTTCTGCGTTTCCCCAAGGAAACGCGGCTGAGCTTCTGCCTCTAAAGGACACACGTGCTTTATTTGTAATGTGATCTATAGTTTGTGCTCTCGTGTCACTATTTCTTTTATTTTTACAAGTTTATTGTTCTATGTCCTCCTATCCTTTCCTTCCTCTTTTAACTCCCCACTGCCCCCTCCCTAAAACAGAGTAGCCAACCAAGACTCCAACCTAGGTTTACCTCTCTGTTCTTCTTTTTCCGACTCTCTCTCTCTCTCTCTAGTATCGGGGCATGGTGACCAGAACGACCGCCACGGGAAAACAATACAAATTTAAACACAAAGCATATGTGCACGCCAATCAACAGACAACCTAAAGAATGTGCAGAACAGGTGGTACTGCTGGGGCCGCAAGGAATGGCGCCGTCCCTAATTGAGATAGAGGAATAACAGCACGCGTTTGCATTTGGACAAGATTCAGGGGTAAAGAATGGTGAGCAGAGAGCAGACGAATTTGCTTGCTGTCGCGTACTTTTCAGAGTTAAGAGACTGAAGCGCCAAATGTTTACGTAGCTTACTACAAAATTACCCTATTCGAATCTATAAATTCAAGTGCTTTGAGGCATTCTGGCGTGCCCAGCACGGGTCAGAAATAGCCCAATACTAGCCAATTAGCCAGCTACCACTTCTTCCCGCCAACTGCAAATAAAACTAGTCCAATTTGGCTATTTATAGCCCAACCTGGCAACTTTGCTTGCTACCGAAGTTGAAATGCACCTAGGTCGGGACGCGCTACCTGAAAGCACCGCTGGGGCGTGGTTGTATAAAAACAATATTAATTTTTCCGCAAAACCTGGCAAACTAAAGATCTTAAAAAGATCACGCGCCCTTCATTTTGTACTCAACTCCAATAAATTTCATACAAAAAGAGTCTTTTCCGTTTGCTTTTACGCAAAAACATGCTTTCTAAAAGCTCAAGGTGACCACAGTACAGACAAATGATAAAGAGTGGCGCTGTTGTCGGTATTTAGCTCGGTCTCGGTGGACGCCAGCAGTCCAGGTTTCGACGGCGAGTTTCCCAACTGTGTGTTTTAGTAACGTTGACTCGCAGCAAGAACAGGCGGCCATGTGATTTGGGGTCGATTATATGCCGCCTGTGTTAATCATAGCCGCTCGCTGGTGTTGGCAAAGCACAAGGAAACGCTCTGAGTTGCAGATATTGTTATGATTGCAGCGGTTCGACACGGGCCACTACCCGAATATTTGTCGAGCTATTGATTATCACGAGCACAAATCGAGGGCTCACGCAATTCTTGGGCTCAATCTATGAACCGCATTAAAATGTCGTCACTGGGGCATAATGCGATCTCCAGCTACGTCATCATGTTTCGCGAAGGAGACATTGAAAGAAAACGCTCGCTTTTGTCATTGAAATGACACCGTAACAAAGGAGTTTCTTGGAGAGTGGTGTTGCGTGCGAGTGTACTTGGGTACCTCTAGTTCCGGTAAGGTCGTGTAAAGTGAAAAACCTTCCAAGCGAATATCGTTGCATGGTCTCTTTAAGGGGGATTCACCCGCGATTTATATGTAGCCTTTTGTAGCGTGAGCTACACTGGCCGAGGTTGAGCAGTTTCGCGTGGCTCGCATAATGAGCCGTGCTCCGTGCTGCGCATGTGCGAGGAGCAGTGACGTCACACGGCGCACAGCTGGCGCGCCGGAGCCGCCGCCGCCGCGCGCTCCGCCGCCGCCGCGGCCGCCTCGCCGGTCTGCGCATTCCAGAGGAGTGATGTCATAGCCGCGGCAGACGCACGTCCGCCGCCGGGCGCCCAGCTTTTCGTCTCCGTTGTGCAGTAGCTAAGTCTGACGCTGCGCCGGAGCCGCTTGATAGCGCTTCTCATTTTGTGCACATAAGCTCACGCTACGGATATCCTGGCATAGCCGAGCTACGTCACCGCAATCTTTTTTTTTTTTTTTCTCATAGATGGCGCAGAATGTTTTCGGAACAAACAAGTTGCACGCTCGCAGCTGCGCATACAGGTCGGGCGTTCGGGGTGAGCTCAGGCCATGGGCTGTTCGCCGCCGATCTCGGCGAGCTAGTTTTTGTTCGCTCAGCGTCCACTACTACCGGCAGGGGTCAACGGGCGGCGTGGAGCACGAGCAATGTGGTTAAAAACATGGCTCCGATTTCCGACGCGCTCCAGGTTTGAACCATTCAAACACATTTTGTGAACGCCCTGTTTGCTGATGTTGTGCGCCGGTTAACACTAGAGTTTTCAGCGTTTGCAAGAGCGTCATTTGTGTGCAGATGAAGCCGCACACGCAACTGACGCCTTGACATCATGTATTGGCTTAGGCGGAGTACATCGCATGGAATTTGGTTTCCGACGAATACGTAGCGTCGTGTCGTAATATATTTTGGCAGTGCGAATTTTGCTGTTCACCCTTGCTCCACTGAGTTCAACCTTTAGATGTAAGCTTGTATTGATTAGCACCAACTTATGCACGAGTCACGGTCGTAGCTAGAGGACGGGTTCTGACCGTGGTGCCGTTTTCAGCGCTTGTGCGTACGGTGCGTGCTTTGCTCGCTTTCGGAATCGACATACACGTGCGTGCTGAGCTGTGAAGATGGCATGCTGAGCAGTGCGATCTTCACAGCGCAGCATCTTGTAAACAAAGAGGTTTTGGCCAGTGCGATCCTCAGCGCTCGACCGTATTGCGGGTGCTTTGCTTTCTTTTTGAAACGACGTAAGATTATAGCTGTCTGGGTTGTGATTTTGTGGAAACAGAAACTGTTTATGAGCCTCTTTCAGCATCTGTTCATTAGCGCCACTAAAGCATATAAAAAAAAACATAATGAACCAGAGTTTACGTTTTATCAAAACGCTAACAATGATTTACTTTTGGCTTTCTTTGTATTTCTTAATTTTATTTCAAGTTTATTGCTCGCGTCCATCGTGAGCGAGCGTGCGGTGGCGCGGGGCATTTATTTTATTTATCAATACTGTCAGTCCTCTCTCGAAGACTATTACAGGAGAGGGAGAAATAAAAGGGAAAACATACATTCTTAACGTTTACCAGCAATAAGGACGCACAAAATACTATTACATTTTCAAATAACAACAATCAACCAAAATTTCTTTTATTTTGAAAACAGCTCTTCCAAGGAAGACTCGAAATAAGACGCGTCTGTTAAATTTATGACACACTCCGGGAGACTATTCCATTCTTCAATTGTTTGCGCGAAAAAAGACTATTTAAAGACATCTATTCTACTACAATAAGGTTGGACCGTTTTCGTATGATTTAGTCCTCTTGACCGCTTATGCACTTCTTTCAGATACAATGCTGGGTCAATTTTTAAGTGTGCGTAATAGAGGACAAAAAAAACAACAACTTTAACCTTGCAATCTTCCGTCTAGTTTCTAGTGGCTGCAAGCCGCACTCATGCAACATTCTAGTTACAGAGTCTGTTCTTTTATAGCTAGACAGAATAAAACATACAGCCAACCTTTGAATCTTTTCTAATTTTTCGTTGTCAACTTTTTTGTTGGGACTACGTACCACACTGGCATACTCCAAAGTAGGACGTACCATCGTTTCATAGGCAGTCAACTTTGCGTCTCTAGTAGCATCTTTTAATTTCCGTCGTATAAAACCAAGACTCCGATAGGACGAAGAGCAAACATTTTCAATATGGGCCAGCCACTGTAGGTCATCTGAGATCGTGACACCAAGGTACTTGAAACTGTCCACATTATTCAAATTCATATCCCCCATATTGTAGGGAAATTGTAAAACGTTCCTCTTGTTTGTTATGTGCATGTATGCCGACTTACAAAAATTTATCTGCATTTTCCAATCATCACACCACTGCCTTAATATTTCCAAATTCCTGTTTAAGTTCAGTTGATCGACGGAATCGTTTACGGGAGCATAAAGTAAGCAGTCATCTGCAAAGAGCTTCAGTTTAGTTGTAGTTTGAATATAAGTAGCGATATCATTTATATAGATCAAAAACAACAATGGACCCAGGACTGAGCCCTGAGGGACTCCTGAGGACACAGGTAATGGCGCAGATCGACTTCCATTAATTTCAACTCTTTGACTTCGATTTGATAGATAGGCTTCAATCCAATTAATAATAATAGAACCTAGACCTAGTGCTTTTAATTTTTATATCAGTTTTTTATGTGGTATAGTCAAACGCCTTTGAAAAATTGACGCAAATAACATCTACCTGTTGCTTATTATTAACGCCAAAAGAAAAATCATAAAACGTTTCCACAAGTTGGGTTACCGTTGGCAGGCCGCATCTAAAACCGTGCTGGTGGGGATAGAACATGCCTCGGTCCTCTAAGAAAGTGAATATGTGTTTTGAAATAATATGATCCAATACTTTACAACAAACACTTGCCAAAGAAATGGGTCTGTAATTATCCACCCTGAGACGGCTTCCGTCTTTAAATCCTGGTACAACACAGGCAGATAACCCGTCTTGTCGAAGAGTGTGCGTTTGTAATGATGTGTCAAAAATAATTTCAAGATAATGGGATAGCCACTCAGAATATATTTTTGAGAAATTCATTCGGTATTTCATCCGGTCCCGTTGATTTCTTCGTGTCAAGAGATAACAACTTCGCGAATATTCCTGATTGGGTTATCACCACGGCCGGTGCGCTTATTTCAGTGTCGTGGCTTGAGGCTTCACGCATGACATGTGACTCATGCGCTGAAAAAACTGACTGAAAAAAACGGTTAAAGTGCCCTGCCATTTCTACATTGTCTGTAATAACTATGTCACCGCCAACAATTGGTTCAATCGGTTCCTTTCGTCCCTTTAAAAAACGCCAAAACTTTTCGGGGGCAGTTTTTATAAAATTGTGCAGAGTTACTAAAAAAAAGCTTTCCTTGGCTTCTCTACGTGCCGTTTTTAAACTGCTCTTTAAGGCGTTCACGCTTTGTTTGTTATTTTTCCTATGCCTTCTGATTCGTCGTTTCAAGTGAATTATTTCGGGTGTTATCCAAGGATTTGTACGATGAACATGTTTAATTTTGCTAGGTACATAATGATCTATACAAAAATAAATAATTGTCTTTAAAAAGTTCCAGAGGTCGTCAACTGTACTAGTAGTGCTAAGTTGCTCGAATGCTTCCAACGATGTCTCTAAGTAATCTGAAATACTTGTATCGTCTGCGCGAGCAAAGTCTTTAACAGTAATAGGCATGGAGGCCCGGCAAGGGCCCCCTTTCCGAAGAAGTGAAAAGCGCACCGGTACAGCTCTAAAAAAAATTGATTGTGTGTTAGTGATGCAAAACTATCGGTAAATTGACTATCGATACTATCGATAGTTTTTCCAAAACTATCGATAGTGTCGCAGAACTATCGATACCCTACTGAAAAAAAACCATTTGGCGCCTGTATGAAACTAAACGGGTCCATTACCGGTAACAGTTTAGCCATACCGGTCACCAGTTTGCCAAAGGGGTCGCCCGTATGGCTCAAGGGGTCCCCCGTATGAGCCATAGCGGTCACCTATTTGGGCAAACAGGTCACTTCTTAGGCAAACAGGTCACTCGTCGGGGCAAATGGGCGACTCGTTTGGGCAAAGTTGTCGCACGTTTGCTCAAACCGGTGAACATGTTGCACAAGCGGGTGACCGGTGACCGTCAAACTGTACCGGTTTAATCAAACGGCTCTCGGGAGCCCGTTTGATATTGAACGTACAGATCGGCGGCCTGGGCACGCCTAGCTGTTTGAGCCGTGGCAGCCAATGTTTCCGGAAGGCTGGGAGCGCCGGTTCATTGATTTCAGATCGTCCGCGTAATGCAAGTAATAGTATTTATATTTTAAGTGCGCTGATGTGCGCTTATACTGCAACTAAAACTAACACATTTTTTTTTTTTTTTTTTTTACGTAAACGCGCGACGTTGGTGAGCCGATATTTTTGACAGAACTTTAAAACTTTGTCCATCTTTTTTGCCTCAATTTTCTTATTCAGCTCGAATCTCTCTCGCCGAAGACGCGACCGCATGAAAGAATGTACTTCTAGAGTCCGTGTCACTTCATTTCAAGGTGCGGCGAAGGTAGCGTGAACACGTGCCTGCAAGAACATCGAGCATTGAGAGAGCACGCGCGCCGTTGCAGCAGTCGAATTGCGAGCTCGTGCTGGGTGCTTTTTTGGCCCGGGCGCAAGCCGAGCTCATGGCCGACGCCATTTCCAGCGTGCGTTTTGAAATGCGCGCGTTTCGCCTGCTTTCTAAGGCTGCAAACGCGACGTGCAGTGGCAACTCCAAGAGAGAAGAAAGGCGCGTGTACAGCGATTCGTGCACCCTCTCCCCTAGCATTGACTGCATTGCCACAAAAAGCCAACCGCAAGTTTTTTTTTTGTTTTTTTTACGATGGACATGCTGCCAGCAACCAAACCACCACCACAAGGATGCACTGATGATGTCTCCCGCATAGGAGACGAAACGTCTGATAAATTGTTGGTATTGTTATGCAAGCCGGAGGTATTTGTTTTTAATCGTATATGTTATGCGTGCGGGTCGTTTTGAGTTCACAGAGGTGTTTAGATGAAGATTTCAACAACCGACATATTTTGCAGCAAACAACTGCCGCAAGTACGCTCCTTCGGAAGCGCTATGCGGATGCTTGTCTTCGTAGCGGGACTGGCCTAAGCCTAGATTCCCACATAAACTATTTTGGTCGATCTGGCTTGATTTCTTTGATATTGTAGTGAGTGCGCAGGCGAGCTGGTGGAAATTAACCATTCTGATGTTAGCCTGAGACTGAGGCAGGAAAAGAAGAAGTTTCAAAGTAGAAGAGACGTATCCTCGACTGTTCCTTTTTCTTCTACTTTGAAACTTCTTCTTTTCCTGCCTCAGTCTCAGGCTAACATCAGAATGGTTGATTTCTTTCTTTGAGCGTGTTGATGCTCAATAAAGATGTTTGTTCCCGTAAAAGCGGCCCCGCTGTTGTTTGTATTCTGCAACCGTCGTGATTGCGACCGTGACTTCAATACCGTGCCCCGCTGCTCTGTGAATTGTGTAACTGTCGTGACTGCCACCATGGTTTCAATACCGTGAAGATACCTACAGAGATAAGAATTTGCGAGCCATTTGGCTCGAGGCAATCGGGCGTTCGGCTCGCATTAAGTTAGTCCAAGTATGTTCCCATCATTTTGCTTCGAAAGGAAAGTAG